CCGGGGCGAGCTCCGCTCGGGGTGCGAGGCTGCGGAGGATGCCTACAAATGAAATGACTGTACATAGTAAATTTACTTATCTCCCACCGTGTGCGGACCAGACTGTCTCAGATGCAGACAATCCAAAGTGGTAGGAAAATGGGAAAATGTGCCGGCCAAGGGGACAATGCCAAGTGCTCTGAGCCCTGAGGACTCAGGAGGTAACTGTGACTACCAGTCACCTAGGGGGACGAGCGTCCTCATCATCTTCTCTGTACATCCAGCCATCCATCCATCATCCATCCATCATCCATCCTCCCATCCATCCATCCATCATCCGTTCACCATCCATCCACACACCCATCCATCCACTACTGAGACATACATCATCCATCCATCTATCTATTCTTCCATCCATTCATCCATCCTCCATCCATTCATTCACCCACCCATCCATCCATCATCTATCCATCCATCCACCCAGAGAAGGCCAGGTATGTAACAGGAATAGAAGGTCAACAGAAGAAACATGGACCTTGCTCTCAGGGACCTTTCAGCTTAGGGAGTCAGGCATTAATCATATATATTGTTAGGAAATGAGATTAATGCTGTGAAGAAGTCATCAAAGTTCATGATATTGGGTAGAAGGTGGGACCTAAACTCATCCAGGAGATCCAAGGTTTCTTCAAGTAATTAACCTTCGTGCTAAGATCTGAAGGCCAAATAGAAGTAAACAAGGTAGGAAGGGAAAATTTTCCAGGCATGGAGGGAGCCTATGCAAAGGCCCTGAGGCAGGAAATGTCTCATCACAGAGGAAGAGAAGGAAGTTCAGTGTAGCATAGGTGTGGTGATGCAATGGGGCCATGTCATGTGGAGATTGGTAGGGCACAGCAAGGACTTTGGTCTTTACTCTAAAAGAAATCAGAAATCCTTGGAGGAAATTAAGCAGAGGAGAGACATCATACAGTTTGAATTGTGATGAAATCCCTCTGGCTGCTATTTGGAGAATGGATGGGAAGAGGGCCAGGTAGGAGCCTAGTGTGGCCAATTCAGGCAAATGAGCAGTAGCAAGTAAGCTGGAGAGAAGTGAGTTGATACAAGATACATTTAGAAAGTTAAATTGTCAGGTTTGAGGATGGTTTGGGGGTATAGGGTGGAGAAGGAGATGTCGGGGGGTCAATGGATAATTTAAGATAAATTCATGATTTTCATACACATATAAAATGAACACATGTCAAAGATTTTATTTAACTTAATAATAAATGAAACGATAAGGTGTTATGACTTATTCAAAGAAGAAGTGAAAGGAATGCTGAAATGAATTAACAAAAACTGGTCTTTCCATAGGGCAATGTCAATTGTATTTCGCTGGACGTGGATAATTTGCCTTTCTATGGACAAGAATTATTTGCATTGCTGTCTGCTTACTGCAGGTTAACTTCTACCTCTACAGAGGTATGAAATAATCTAGGCCAAAAAAAAAAGGGCACACA